AACCATGATTAAGAAAATGAAAGAGGATTTAGGAGAGCAACTCAGTGCTATTAAAGTTAATACCTCTTCTATTGAAGCTAGCATCTCTTCCATTTAAGTTAACTTCTCTTCCACTAAAGTTAATATCTTTGCTCCTCAACCAAAAAGGACTTTGCTCCTCAACCAAAAAGGAAAATGGATTGTTAGAGAAAAAACAATAAGAAATAAACTTAAAACTCAGAAATCAGTTAAGAGGTAAAGCACCTCAATTAATTGCAACAGTCACAGGAACATAATTTGGCAAAGGAAAAACATAAATGTACCAAAGTTGAAAGTCAAACTCGGAGAAAACCTAAAGAATGTTGCAGACTAAGAGGTAGAGCTATTAAAATTGAATTTCTATGCACCTAACATTAGGTGTCAATTTCAATATATATTGCCTTAATTTATACTATATATAAAAAATATATTCCCTTTTCATGTGCTTAATTTTTGGAGAATTTTATTTTTATAATTTTTAAATTATTATTTATTTCTCTATCATTTTTATTTATTTATTTTTCTCTTTCCTGCTTTCCTTAAATCTCACAATTTTTAAGTAACCATTGATGCCATTATCTTCTTTTATTTAAAAAAAAAAAGGTTATGAATTGCTTATTTTCTATCCCAATTAATATGACTATAATAATAATAAATATAATAAAAATATTTATTTTATTTAAATAAAATTATTTATAAAAATATATTTATTTATTTAAATAATAATAATTATAATCTATTTATTTATTTTAAATAAAATTATCTTTAAAAATAATCAATTTCAACTCCATTTTTCCTTTTATTTCTCTCTTAACAAACGATATTTATTTTTACTCTATTTTTCTATACTTTCTTATACATCTTTTCTCCTCTTTTTTCTTCATTTTTTTCATTCCTTTCCTCTTTACTAATTACAGACACTACAAGAAAAACGTAAATTTTTTACGAAAATATCCGTTGAAAACTTTTCGTTGAAAAATTTATATTTTTTGACGGAAAATTTTTGACGGAATTTTCCGTCGAAAATTTCTGAAAGAAATATAAATCCGACATAAACTTCTAACGGATTTATATTTCTGTCAGAAATTTTCGACGGAAATATAAATCCGTCGAAAATTTCTTATTTTTAATTCTTATCTTATTTTTATTTTTATTTTTAGATAAATGTTTAACTAAACCAAAAAGAGCATTCGGAAGAGGAGGTATGTGTTTTGGACAAAATTTTCGAAATCAGTTTTACCTCGAAGGTTTATTACCTTTTTTGAGCGAATGTTCCTTTGTACCATTTTCGATAACGAGACCGAAGCGTCAAAGATGGTTCGATGCACATTGTCAGGTCGATAAGAAACCTTAAAAAATTGTTCGAATTGATAAATTATAGTTTGATTCTTGAAAGTACCTATTTGTTTGGGACCCTGCGAAGAAAGTGGGGAATTAATCAGCTTTGTTAAAAATGTATCGAAGTCGATCATTTTGTCAACATGATACTCACACCACCAACGAAGAAAACATCGAGAAACTAAGAACGAAGGGGAAAAAGAGCAAGGCGTGAGGTGAAGTTGTTTTGCAGGACGTAAGATGAACTCCAAAACTTCTTCGTAGTTCCCTCTCTCGACACAAATATCAGAATCTATTTTTTCTTTACGTCGAAGAGGGAGAGGTTTCATTTGACAAAGTCCAAATTGTCGAGCGAAGAGTTGAGGTTGGTAAGGGTAAATTCTGACATCTTTTTGACGCATGCCAGACATAATCACATCCCAAGATAGGAATCCAGACCAGATCTCGACAGAATCA